AAAAAAAACAAGTAAGTTAAATAATTTTCTGCCAAGTAGAGGGAGGGAGGAAGAAGGAGCCTTGGGGTTACTGAATGTTGAAGTTCGAAATTTCAGACTACATTCTAGTGATCTTAGGCAAAAAATTTCATGCAAAACAGTATAAAAGCAGACGATGTTGAATATTTAAACGTGATATAAATTTACGAGGAGCATACCTCGAAAGAACCCATATCAGCGTCGGTTTCGGGTGCTATATAGGAATTAACATACAGAAATCTACATACCCTGCTTATATCCGAGGTAGAATTCTTTTACGATACGTGTTGACTAAAGAGTGTTAGAGAAGGTGCTACACAAACCTCGGGAGATATAACTTCCGCACGGTACTGCCGGATGTGCTTGTCATGACACAATTCGTACGTCCAATAACCATAAACCTTGTATGTGCAAGGTACGGCAGTAAACATTTCCTTAAGCAGCATTGATCCGTTTTTGTCGGATTCCACATATGCTTGATAGTCTTTTCCTTTAATCGCCGTTGGCAGAGAGCACGAGAAAGATTCATTATGAATCGTATTCACTAGGACATAAGGAGAGTCCTCCCGCTACAAAACAAAATTAGCGGAGATATTACGACAAACCGGCGAAATTTCCTCCTCTTTCCACCGGATATGATAAAAAACATCATCATTTAAATCGAAAGCCTCGGCGTTTGGCCAGGTAAAGGTAAAAAGGGAAGAAAATATAATGCATATTGCACTTCCGCTTATATGGGTACAGACAACCATTCGAGTAAAGCTCTAAATGTGAAGGTCAAATGGTCCTGAGGATCGTGCCAGACGACGGTCACACTGACCAACAGACGACAAATACAGAATATCCTGAGTTCATTTTCGAGCTCACGCTAGTAGAATAAAAGACTGACTAACTTAAAAAATTACTTAAATTAAGAGCAAGAGCTCTTAGCAACGTCTTAGAAAGGGGCATTAGATGTGACCCAAGAAATTGGGATATTGATCAGATAACATAGATATTCCGGTCTGCACAGCTCATTTTCTCTGTCAGTGAAATTGTGTGCAAGACATCTGTCTAGGTCCTCAGCGTAAACTTGCTTTATTCAACTGAAAATGATGTCCATCGAGGGATGTCCCTGTCCATGAGGCTCGAGCGGAAACTTCTCAGGGAAATTTGTAAGACAGTATTTTTCAGTTGATGTACACCTACAGCTTTGGAGGTGAATGAAGAGGCTTCGATTCATGGCACGACAGTTAGGATACACTGACTGATAAGCACTAAGTAAAGCACTAACCGCTCCTACTGTACTGTGGACTACCAATTACTTTACAGACTCTCGTGCCCTGATTATTGAGGTTCTCACCGATTGCAGGGCAAATCATATTCTACTTGTTAAGCTAGTGAATAGTCATACCATAAATCCGCTTACTACTCTGAAATACTTTGGCCACAATTGATAGCCCAATCCCCGAAAAGACTTTAAGTTGTTTCCACATCACTTTTATATTAATATCCTCAGTTCATATCTGTCGTCACAGTCTCTTTCTGACGTAACTTACTGACAGTAGGCAAAATTCTGCAGCATTCTCCTTGGTTAAAATAGCTTCCATATTATTTCTACATTAAAGGCAACGTCCACGCATTTTGGCTGTCGAAGGCACAGAAATTACCTCTTGCTGCTTGAGCATTCGTGCAGTTTAACCAGGGTGTCCGAACTAACACAAAAGGGAAGTATTTATCGCTCCGAATTCTTACCCCTAGTAAACACATCCTTCATTTGGCTCAAAAGATTTCGTTTTATTCAGTTTTCTTTCTCGGGGTCATATCCTTATATCTGTAAGCTTATTTTCGGGTTTTTGGACTTTCAACAGGATATACAGGCACCCAACGCGATATTCTTCCTCAAATCCAATAGTTCTTGCTGCAGTTATGTTTACGATGCGTTTTGTGGCCCTTTGTTGCATTGAAAAAGGATGTCAAGACCATCTCAGTAGGCTTTTTGAGGAACTGCAGTGCATGGTCATGATACTACCGTTTAACTACTGTGTACTATGAACGGCGAAATAAAGTCTTAAATCCATACGAATTTTCGAGATTATAATGAACACTCCCGACAGTAGATGAAGTATGGCGACTATAAAAACAAAGTGGGCGAACCATGCGCCTTATTTTTTAAATCACTTTGAACATTTTATAAACGATATGATGTATGTGCCGGGTCAGGGTGACTGAGCTGATAAACCAACACCGTTTCACTCCCATTTTCTGAGGAATTTCTACACGAAAAACAAATTTCGGAGACACTGAAAGTAATATTTGAACACGGCAGAGTTAGTGCCCGAAGTTGGAAAGCAGACGATATCGTTGTGCTAATTCGGGCTCAGTCAGACTAGTAAGCAACTTGTTCCTCTAACCTTTATCTAATAGCCTACTGTACACAAATCTTGCCGCGTGCAGGAACCCTGAACGATGTTAATGGATAGCGCAGAAAGTGGTGATAAAATGCGTCAGAAAATGAAAGAAAGATAAGGAAGACTATGATTCTGCGTAAAAAGTGTGGCTGGACCGATTATAGAGGCCCCATAAATCCCGTTGACTTATAGTAAAAACTACTTTCCCAAGTTCAGTAGTCCGACTTTAAATTTTTTGTTTAATTCCACTAGTAGGAGGATGAATTTCCACTTTCGTTAAATTCCGCTTACCTAAGGTCCAAATTCCCTTAATTGGCATTCGTAACCTGCGCAGCAGAAATTCATGTTGATCGAGTTTTATTTTATTTTAGCATATTAAAACAAACATGATCTTATTTTATTTAATATGTTGGTCCCTTCCGCAACAATTACGCATTAATTTAAGCAGTTAGAGCCGGGGTATGGATATCTAGAGGGGTTCTACAAATCAGTTTTGCCAAAAGTGGTTAATAAATGATCGCCGAAATCAACTGTAATATATAAACTGCAAACTAAGATAGGAATTCAAACCAAATTGGAAATGGTTAGTATCCTTT